TCAGGCACTTAAAGTCAATCATCCTTCACTAATAAACATTAACAGTATTAAAAATTAATGACCATCGCTCAGCCTGCTGAGACAGATCCGGTTTGGCTTGTTTGAGGCATATTGGACCAAAGTATCTTGCATTCTTCTCTGCTGGTATGGCTGTCAGTCTCACAGTCTCACTGTGGCAATCAGCTAAGTAAGTGACAGACCCCAACGCATCCAGAAGGTAGGTTTCTTTCTTTCTTTCTTTCTTTCTTTCTTTCTTTCTTTCTTTCTTTCTTTCTTTCNCCAGACTGTGGGGGCAAGTTGCTGACTCAATTTGCTAAAAAAATCTGTAAACCACTTAGAGAGGGCGGATAGCCCTATGAAGCGGTATACAAGTCTAATAAATAAATAAATAAATTTCATGGTTGCTAGCCAACCAATAGTTTACAGGTGACTGGTTGAAGAAGGTTTTGCTAGTCTATGAATCTGGAGCTGAATTTCCCTAAGGACTTTTGTCCACCCTGTTCTCTATTCACAATGTCATCAAATAGATCTCCCCCACCGTCACCCCCCAGTTGATGGCAGTACTTTCTTGGCTATTTCCTTTACCTTTTTATGGAATCTTGATTTAGACTCATCCATTTGCATGTGGGATTCTTGGTAACTTGACTCTGTTCTCCTTCCTGTTCTACTATGGGTCTCCCATAAGGATATGGCCAATTCCCTGGGGGGATTTAATTTTAGAAATATGGTTGCTTTCTTCTTGACTTTGCACTGCTTGAGAAGAATACCTTCTCACTAACTCCATTCTGCGTCTCTTGGTTTGTGAGGGTCTTCCTCCTCCTGACTAGCTGTTTGTAATTCCTTGATCCTTCTGAATCTTTTCCATAGTGGAAGACTAGTGCTGTCCACAGGGTCCTTCCTTCATCCTTTCACGCAGTATCTCTCATATGTAGTGAAGGCAATATGCAAAAAAGTGCATTGTACAATGAGTTCATGTGGTATCTTCAAGCAAGGCTTGATATCCCACTTAAATCTATTTTTATAATGAACAAGTGATACTTTGACCCAAAGCCTTCATGTCTTTTGCAGTATCTAGAGAGGTATGTATCCATATGCAACGTATCCATTGACCATTGGGATGCTTGCTTTATGTCTATGCAGATTCTCAATAATTCTGGTCTGCATTGTCCCAACGGTGCTTTATTTAGAGGCAACTGGACTTTCTTTGTTTTTCGCTGAAGACATTTCACTTCTCATCTTAGAAGCTTCTTTTTGAGTTCAGAACTGAAGAAGCTTTCTTGAATGAGAAGCAAATCATCTTCAAGGAAAAACAAAAGGCAGTCCAGTGGCCTCTTGAAAAAGCACCTTTCGGGTGCTTGTTTTATCTTTGGAATAATTGAGGATCGTGGTCTTGGATTTTAGTGAAAGGATGTGGATGTTTATTATTTTTCTGCAATACTTCCCATCTATCCCCAATCAATCCGCTGAAAGATGAAAGCTCTTCATTGAATGTTACAGACTGTAATCTCCCATACTAGTCCTGCTTTGGCTGGTAGGTAGATATTTTTTAACTTCCCAGTTTAGGACAGAGATAGAGACAGGTCCAAAGGAGTCCCTGCAGATTTTACTCTGCGAGTCATTTCTGACTCTAGGGGCTGGTGCTCATCTCATTTTCAGGGCCATTGAGTCACGATTGTCTGATGACATTTCCACGTTGCCAGCATGGCCTCATGGAGCACTGTTGTCTTCCCACCAAAGTGGTACTTATTTATCTACTCGCATTTGCATGCTTTCGATCTGCTAGGTTAGGAGGAGCCGGGGTGAGGACCGGAGCTCACCGTCACATGGTGCTCAGGTCTCGAACCTGCGCTGCTGGCTCTCCAAGCGATAAGCCCAGTGTCTTAACCGCTGAGCCACTGCCCTGCCCTGGTGTGAATACCTACAACAAATAAAACCTTTTTGATGGATTAGATTTTAGATTTAGATTTATTTTATTTGTATGCCGCCCTTCTCCGGGAGGGACTCAGGGCAGCGAACAACTCAAGGGGTAAAGGGAAACATAGAACACAATACAAGTAGTTAAAATAGCCAAGAATCACACAACCACACAGGTCGAGAGGGGAGGGGAACTCATCAACCCCAGGCCTGCTGGCAAAGCC